GGTAAAGAGAAATGCTTGCGATATGAGGGTTGGTGAATGCAGGAGCACAGATCGGAGGGGAAATGGGGAATGTCGGGCACAGGAGAGAGCTGCTTGCCTCACATTGTTTTCACTGGAGTTTGAGACTATGTGAGTGAAATTTTTTTAATAGTTATGAAATATATAATGCAAAAAAACATACATAGTTTGATTAATAACTGTGCTCTTATTTTTTCTATTATTCCATAATCTTCTCTTTTCCTATGCAGAAAAGATGGTGCGAGTCATGACACTTCCTCTGCTATTGCTGTTGGGCCTTTGGGGGCTACTGTGTCCACTTTGGGCTATTCCTCCAGGTTACACCCCATTTCAGTGGTTTGAAATTCAGCACATCCAGCCAAACCCCCTCCCATGTGACCAGGCAATGATTGCTGTCAACAACCTTATAAAGAGGTGTAAGCCTAGAAACACCTTTCTGCACGATGATCTCCAGAATGTGACTGATGTCTGTACACAGGACAACACAACCTGCAAGAATGGTCAAAACAACTGCCACCAAAGTGTCTCTCCTGTGAACATGACTGACTGCATGCTCCTTAGAAAAAGCCAGTTTCCTAACTGCCACTACAGGGACCGCCCCAAATTCGCAAACTTCACTGTGGCCTGTGACCCACCTCAGCAGGGCGACCCTCAGTATCCCCTGGTTCCTGTGCACTTTGATCAAATTGTCTAGAACCTTGATCGGGTTTTGTCTATATTCAAAGGCAGTTTCTATTAAAGTTTTTTCTGCTTTTTTTCTTTTCCTTCATCATCTTCATTTTTTATTTTCTTGTTTCCACCAAAGAAAGAGTGGAGGTGCTGGGACAGTTAGTGGGCCCAGGATACTGCTGCTGACCTGGGACTGAATATACGAATGAATAATTATTCTGTGCTTAGAAATCTGTCTGTGTTGGAGCAAGGCAATGTGCAATGGTGGAAAGTTCTAGGCCTTTGTCACTTTTGCCAGCCTCAGTGCACTGCATTCACAGCAATAAAGACCCTACTGCATTCGAGTGAGTGTGAGTGTGTTTTTATCACCTCTCCAATCACTTCCTGCCTGTACGCTGTTTTTTCCTGGGTTCTTCTACTGTTATTTCTTAGATCTGATAGATTGCTTCCTGAGTCTTGTGTATGTCAAGCAGGGAATGGCAAGTGTACATGCACTGGCAAAGGAAAAACCAACTACACTTTGTAAAGATGCCAGGAAGATGTGCTCAGGTGCATGAACAGAAAAGGGGTGTCAGGGTGACAGGAAAGTCAAAAGCCACAGATACATCAGGCTTTGCATTTTGTTT